GATACATTAACTGAACTTATAACTGAGCATTCAAGAAGTAGAGAAAGCATCATTGTAGAGTAGTAAAATAAGGCCTTTTCTGGCAAGGAGTATCTCCAGATCGTATCAACATGTCTTGAGCTAAAATTGGACTGCTCTATGGAGGTAGCACAATCAGGAGAGTTTGGTGTGATGGGCATTGGGAACCTGAAAAGGTTGTTTGTCAGGCTCACAGCCTCCCTACTGCACCAAAGCCTTGTACCAGCCAGGCAATGGTGGAGCAGGGGTGTGATCTATGACACCCCTACCCCCCTGCAGCTTTGACAGTTCAAATCTTCCATGCAGCACAGTGGCTGGGAATGACACTGACACCAAACTGCATGAGTCAGTTCAAGTCTCTTCTGGTGTGAAGGGTTTGGAGTGACATCAGCACAGGAACTAGTCCCAGCCTCCAAACTATATGGGAACTTTGAATCAAGTCCAGTGCAGTATGGGGGCAGGAACGAGCTCCTGTGCTGTGCCAATGTTGCTCCTAGCCCTTGTAACTGAAGCCTTGAATCAGATCTGGTATGATCCCAAACCTAAAATAAAAAAAAAACTGCTGATATTCCCTCTCAGCAATGGGATTGCACCAGAGTCTTGAACAAGCTTGGAACAATCCCAGGACTGAGACTGAACAACAGCTGATTTCTGAATCAGCACTGGGATCAGACTGGAGATGTTACAAGACTCCAGTGCAGAACTACTATCTGTGTTTAGACTGTACCAAGCATTAATGTGATACTGCTCAGAAAACTTTTTAAGGCGGGGTTGGGCAAAATATGGCCTGAAGGCCAGATTCAGCCCACTAAGGGATTTTGTCTTGCCCATGGTGTGTCCCTCAGCCCCATCCAGTCCAGACATGAGGGGCAGCCCAAGCTGTGGCATGTTTAGCCAGTCCTGCTGCCCTCAGGTGTGCAGCAGGACTGAGGCAGTGTGGAGGCTGGGATTGCTTCCCACAGTCCACTAGCAGTGGCTCCTGGCTGCCACCAGCCCTGGCTTCACTGCCTGGGCACCTGAACCCATTCATCCTGCACCCATCACTGGGGGCAGGATATTTAAGGGCAGAGCAAGTGGCCAGGTGGATTGGATGGGGACATAGGCTTGCAGGGAGCAGCATCCAAGAGCAGGATGGATGGACAGAGCTGGGATGACAGGGCAGGATCATGAAGCAGTGACAGCATGGGCCAGGGCCCAGGGAAAAGCTGTGATCTGATGCCTACACATCCTTACAAAAAGCACCAGCTCCACAGGCAGGGGTATGCAGGGAGCAAATTGTGGCTTTGCCCTGGGACCCAGCCCTATGCTACCACTGCCCCAAGATAACAGCCTTGGTTCTACCCACTCATCTCATTCCCAGGCACTGCTCCTCACCCACCTGCAACCTATGCCATCCACATGGCTATGCACCTTGACCATGTGGGTCACAGCCAGTCTTCATGGAAACTCGAGAATTGTGGGGCAGTGACAGCATAGGGCCTGGACCTGGGGCAGAGCCATGATCCACTCCCAACACACTCCTGCCCATGGAAATAGTGCCCATCACAGGTACATTCAGGGGGCAGATCGTGGCTTTGCCCTAGGCCCCAGCCCCTTGCTGTCACACCCCTCAATCCAAGCCCTGGCCCCATCCACCCAGCTCACACCTGGATGCCACTCCCCTCCCATCCATGCCCCCATCCCAGTCTCCCAGACCAGCATAAAGCAGAGCCGCTTAGAGAGTTTTGGCAAGCTTTTGGGGGGGAGGCAGTGCTGACCCAGTGCAAGGGGGGAGGAGGGGGGGAGGGCCATTCTAACCCGGCCTGTGATAACTCACCAAAACTTCCTAAGTGACTCCCCAGCCCAAATAATTGCTCACCCCTGTTCTAAGGCATATTAATGTTTACTACAATCTATATATAACATATACTTAGAGTAACATGTAATGAGGTCCATAGAAACTAAAAAAAATATTTCCTTCTTTTCTTTTTTTCCTGGATATTAGTGGAAAGAATTACAAAGAAAATGCAACAACTTACCATGTATAGTTTCCAAGGTGTTTTTTTATATAAGGTCAGGCATATATTTGAAATAATAACAACAATAACAAAAACAACAATAATAAATAGTAATAGTAATAGCAATAACAACAATAATAAATAGTAACATATGTGTAACTTTTTTCATCGCTATTTCACTAAAAATCAACTAAATGCTATTTGGATTACTACTGGATCAAGGGTGTAACTATTTTTTTAATTTATTTTCAAACACTATAGAAGGATAAAATCCTACACTGAGAGTTCTTTGCCCTTGGATAAGTACTGCAGGATCTATTCATATTTCTTTTTAAAATATAATAGTACAGTTGTATTATAATATCTGATTGCAAAATTGGGTATAAATTATACTAATAGCAAGATAATAAGCAATAGAAAGTAGTAATATTTGAAATTCAGCCACCAGTAAATAATTTAGTATAAAATTTCCCATTTGACCTTTTCATCAATAAATTTGGTAAAGGTAAGTTATAATTCATCTGAGGAGTAAAAAGAAGATAAAAGGAGTTGAAAGTAGGATTGAGACAGAACCTGAGATATAGAAGTCAAAGGCTATACAAAATATTTAAAAGATACTTAAAGATGAAGTGGTATGGTCATTATTAGTTTTCTTTACCTCTTCTTCTCTTTGATAAGGCTTTGATAAAAAGTTATGAAGGTATAAAGTTAATCCCATCTAATTTTGTATTACTTCAGTTTTGTATTAACAGCAGAGATACCGATATAGATGGATTAAGATGTATTTGTTAAAACTTCAATCCCAATCTCCCCTAGTAATTCTAGTTCAGAATGATCTTTGCTCTGGGAACTGAATGAACAAAAGGAATAAACTACAGATTCCTGAAACTCCTCCTGTCATCCAAAATGCCATTGTACTGTGCACTATGATATATATTGGTTCCATAGATTTACTGTATTTACTCGAATCCAAGGCAACATGGGGGAAAAAAGCCCTGCATCTTGGATTCCAGCACAAGGGAGGGCGGAGGGGAGAGCAGGTGGCTGCTGAAGTTCTACTCTGATCCCAAGCCTGGGTTGGGGCAAGAATCAGAGCTGCAACAGCTGCTGCCCCCTGCAGCCTCCTCTCCCCTCCCTCCTTGCAGCCTCCCGCCCCCTAGCCTCTGCTCCAGCCCACTTCCCTGCCGCCTTTTCCATCCCGAAACCTGCAGTCTCTGCTTCCTCCCCACCCTGCTAACTCTCCACTGCAGCTCCAGCTTCATTATCTCCTGGGCATGTAGCACATGGAAGCCCTAGCCCCTTCCTGGCCATCCCAAAGTTGAAGCTGCTAATTCCACAACTACATGGCAGGAGGCCTAGTTTCCATGTGCTCTGTGGGAATGTAGCTGGAGCTCCACTGGAGAGTCAGCTGTGGGGGCAGAATTTGTGGGGTACAGGTGGGGGCAAAGAGGCTGCAGGGGGCAAACAGGGGGCCGAGGTTGTGGGGAATGGCAGAATGGGGCACAGGTGATAGAGGTGCATGTGCTGCTGTGGGGGGCAGGTTGCAGGGAGCACAAGTGAGAGAGGTGTGGCCCTTCAGCCACCTGTCCCCCTACCACATTCCCCCCAGCTGCTGCTTTCCCTGGTAGAAGAGATGAATCGAAGATGGCCTCTGATAATTAGATTCCATATGTGGAAAATTATAAGAAATGTAGACATTTTCCCTATATAGAATCTAATTACTGGGGGGGGTTGTCTTTAATTTGAAGTCATCTTGGATTTGGGTAAATACAATACCTCTTAGAGCTTGGGAATTTATCAGTTTTCTGACACTGTTACTGAGTGACTTCCTACAAGTCACTACTTACATAAAGTAATGTATTTGTTTCACCTTTTAACAGTTTATTTTACTATCTTAACTTTTAATGCTGTCATGCGCAGGGATCCTGGTTTTCTCTGATAACAAAATCCCCAATTTTCAGATTTAAAAAAGTAAACAAAAATCCATATTTTTCCATGATAAAATGAAATGCTACCATTTATATATGTATATGTATATATTAGTGGTGTTTCATTTCAAGAATGGAAAAATGGATTTTGAGTTACTTTTTCTAAACCAAAAATTGGGGATTTATCTTTTATCAGAGAAAACCAGGATCCCAGCTCATGAGAAACCACATATATTAAACCACACAACATAAGCAACATGTGCCTCCTGAGGCTGTGGGGGGACAGCGGCCACCCACAGGCAACCACACTGACATCAGCCATAAGAGTGGGCAAAGCAGGGGCCTTCTGCAGGTGGTTGTGGCAGTGGGAGGCAGGGTCTGCCCCGCAGCTGGATGCCGAGCCCAGAAGTGTTGGTGGCACTTCTTGGGGGGGCACCAGCACCCCACCTGCCCCCCTGTCCATTGCCTAAGCCATGAGTGCTTGCTCTCAGATACCAGCATTCTCACAGGTGCACATGCACCGCTGTGCATCCCCTATGCAGCACGTATGCCATATACTTCATTCTTCTTAGTTCAAGAAAGTTTTAGATGAATGGCTTGAGTTTGTTGTCATAATATTCACACAAAAGGAAACCTTTTAAAATACCAACCTTGATCTTTTGCAGCCTCAAGGAAAAGTCTTGTTTCTTTTACTCTGATTTTATTTCAGAAATGTCAAACCTTCCTTGTTGCAGCAAGCAACACAAGTGCCAGGAAAGCTTCAGAAATGTGGTAAACTAAAACTGTCGATGAGAGCTAGTCCTTTATTTTGTTAAGGGTGAAATATAGGTTGTGTGTTTTTTTTGTGAAATTGTTTTCCTTTTGTTGGGTCTTTTTTTTGTCTGTCTGTATTTTATGTTTTAAACAGCGGAAGATTTACTCATTTATTTTGCAAAACACTGGCTCTTAACCAAATACAGGCAAATTTTGAAAACTGTTCTACTATAAATAATTCTGGAGGAAAAAAATAGCTAAGAAAACATGAAGGTTCTTTGTAGGTCATAGAATGAAAATGTACCTTTTTACAACATCTTCTCCATTCCAACAAGGTAGCCCATCAGCAGCTGCTAGCTCATTAATACACAGATGATCAGCCAGGCCTCCATAGAATGTCCTATACAGTCGAAGGCTGTTGATAAAGTCTCTGCATCAAGACACAAGGAAAATAAGTAACAGCATCAATCAATAATAATATGCAAAAAATACTTCCATGCATTGTTACAAGTCAAAGTTTTTGCCATTTTGTCCCTCTCTCTATTGGCACTTATTCGCTTATTAATCATTTTTCAACATTATATGTAAATGAGATGATCTGAAGGACTGTGACTACTTAATAGCTTACAAACTTGTCATTGTCTTTTGTTGAAATCAAACTAAGTCACAGACTGATCATGAGAAAAAGAAAGTGCTAGGTTTTTTAAGCAATTGCAGCATTGGGCAAAATAGGCTTAACCTGTAGATATGATCATTGTTGGCTATTTAAATTACTGGTTGGATAATTTATTTCTGTTTTAGTGCATTATATTGCTATTTTAAATTGCTAGGTTTATTGCACCTCAATAACCGTTGAGGTGCCCAGAATTAGGGATATATGCTATTTCAAAGTTATTCCACATTGATCGAGATTTCTCTTGAAAAAGCCAGTGAAGAAATTCCACCATTTCTTTAAGTAGCTTGTTCCATAGTTTCATAGTTTGTAGGGTCAGAAGGGAGCTGAGCAGATCATCAAGTCCGACCCCCTGCCATGGCAGGAAACAGTACTGGGGTCAAACAACCCCGGCAAGGTGTTCATCTAGCCTTCTCTTAAAGTCCCCCAGGGTAGGAGCCAGTACCACTTCTCTTGGAAGTTTGTTCCAGATCCTAGCCACCCTGACAATGAAGTAGCACCTCCCGATATCTAGCCTGAATCTACCCTCTGCCAGCTTGTGACCGTTATTTCTTGTCACTCCGGGTAGTGCTCGGAAGAACAGGGACTCCCCCAATGCCTGCTGGTCCCCTCTGACCAGTTTGTAAATGGCCACTAGATCCCATTTACAAACTGGTCAGTACCATTTACAAACTTCTCTTGTGGAGGCTGAACAGGTTCAGATCCCTTAACCTCTCCTCGTAGGGCCTGCCCTGCTGACTCCTGAACATGCGAGTGGCCCTCCTCTGGACCCTCTCCATGTTGTCCACATGCCTCCTGAAGTGCGGTGCCCAGAACTGGAGGCAGTACTCCAGCTGTGGTCTGACCAGTGCCACATAGAGGGGGAGTATCACCTCCTTGGACCTGCTTGAGATGCTTCTGTGGATGCATGACAAGGTGCGGTTGGCCTTCCTGACTGCATCCCCACACTGCCGGCCCATGTTCATCTTGGCATCAATGATGACTCCAAGATCCTTTTCTGCCTCTGCACTGATGAGAAGGGAGTTCCCCAGCCTGTAGGCATGGTGCTGGTTCTTCCTCCCCAGGTACAGCAACTTGCACTTGTCAGTGTTGAAACCCTTCCTGTTCTCATCCACCCACCACTGTAACCTGCCTAGGTCTGATTGCAGCCTATTCCTCCCTTCTAGTGTTCCCACTTCTCCCCACATCTTAGTGTCATCTGTGAATTTGAACAGGGTGCTTTTTACACCCTCATCCAATTCATTGATGAAGATGTTGAACAGTGAGGGCCCATTGCTCTTAAGGTTAGGAAGTTTTCCAGAGAGTTGATCTAAATCTGCTGTGTTGTAGTTTAAACCCATTTCCTCATGTTCTGCTCTCTGTAGCAAGAAAGAACCATGTGCCTCCATCTTCTTTTAAATATTTGAAAGCTCATGCTGTCCCACTTCCCTGAATGTTAAAATTAGTTACCATTAATATCTATAGTATATTAAAATAAGTGATACAAGGGGTTATACACAGGTATTAAAAAACCCAGGCTTTTATCTATACAAGGCACAGAGCTGTTTTACATTTACAATTTCTACTGTGTAACATGAATGTACAAATGAATTCAAGACTGTAATGCTGAAAATATATTCATTAGACTCCTTTTCAGCTATAGTGTTTTCCCATCTTTAAGAACAAAAATTAAATTAAAACAAAATAAACATCCATATATTTTTATCCTGTTTCCCCATCCCCCAAGTATTTAATGAAAAGGGAATTGCATATTAACAATTACCATTTCTCATCTGCTGGGGTATATTCTGATTTCAGTTACAATTCTAAAATCTTTATTGTTTTCAGTTTGCTTTTATTCTATTGGAGATGCAATCAGTAATTCAAAACACAGAAAACTGACCCACTTTCTCCAAACTGACAAAACTCAATAATTTACAGTCAGATCCCATCATCTTTACTCATGAATGTAACATGTGCATTACATTAATTTGTAAGTATGTTCCTTATAACCATACTCCGTTTGAATGAAGTAGCCCAATATTGCCACGATACATTATAGAAAGGGACTTAATAATGACAACATATCTCTGTGTAGAATGTGTCTGATCATTTTCTCTCATTTAACAGTTGGTATTGATCAAATTTTCCTCTTTTACACAATCAATCCATACTTAATACAGAAATAGGAATGTGTGCAGCTTCTAGCACTTATTAGATGAACTGCATTACAACAGAAAGGTCAATTATTCTTTAAGTAAATGTGTCCTGAGGCAAAGCTAAAGTAATAGAGAAGCACTAACAAATTTCATCCTCTGTAGATGTCTGACCAAAAGCAGAAAGAAGGGCAGATGGTTTAAATGTCAATTTTCAGCCATCTTTTTCTAGAGAAGATAACATATAATTATAGGCAGCTGAGCACAAATGTGTTATTACAGTCAACAGAAACCACAGATCTTGCTTATCTCTCTATTTTGGAATGTTCATTTTAACTATTTTATTGCCGCAGTTAAAATGTTTCTGTGAAATTTAGCGAATATTCTCATATTTGCTGAAAAAATACATAAGTAAAGTACTTAGATGAGATGTTAGGGGTAGATTTCTAGAAAATTATTCGTTATTCAGTCTAGGATTATTCAGTGTCAAAAGCACAGAAATGTGTCTATTTCCCATTACACTGAGTATTAGAAAATATTAGATTGGAATTCTGCTGCCTAGGTTATTATCTGATACTAAAAATAATGAAATGAGTAGGTACAGGTAGCTGAATCCGTATTTTAATGTATAAGATTTCATCTGGAGATATGAAGTACATTTGTGAATTACAGAAGTAAAGACAGGAAAATATCGTGTAATTAACAATACCTAGGACATTGACCTAGTGCTAAATATTATGGGTAACACCTCTTTTTCTTGCTTAAGGTTGTAAAAGTAGTTGAAAGCAAGAAAAGAAAGTGCCTTAGCTGTTTCTATTAGCAGCCTCTAACACATACGACAAGAAACAGAGCTATATTAAGAGACAACAACCACTACAAACAGTTTAAAATAATGAAATACTTTGTTGCAGTTGAAATGTTATGTCACTGTGGGTAACAGAGGATGTGGTACGTGCTATACTGAATGGAACTGAGATGCTGTGCAAGATCATCTCTTCCTTAAATTGAAGTCTGTACTATATAACGATTGATAATTCCCAGTCTATTATATTGTTTCAAGTGGGGCAGAACATTGCATTACTGTTCACACTCACATACCTATACATAGAAAAAAAATGGTTATACCATATTTACTCAAATACAGGACAAGGTTCCCCCCATAATGGTATGGGGAAAAAAGCCCCTCTTATATCTTATAATTACAAACAAGGAATCTCACTAAATGCATTGTCTATCATTAACTGCTGCCAAAAGCAGCATGTGCTCAGCAATAGAAACCAACTATGAAGATGATTAGATTCAGCCAACACTAAGCGTGACTATAAAACACGTGGCCCACATTGGCAAACATGCTGATGGGAACTGTTTTTTTGTGTGTCCCTTGAAAAACAATGGGCAGTTGCTACTCCAGGAGGGAACGATCACCAGTCCTGGAGATACTGCAATATCAGGCCAGCACCCAGAGAGACTGCAGCAAGCACCAACAACCTTCCCTGGCACCAAAAATGTTGATGAGAATCTACCACAAGCATAGGTTAGTGCAACACATCTGAATAAGACTTATGGCAGTGCCCATTAAGTGCAATCCCCCTCACTGCCAACTCTTTTTTTCAGTCATGATAAGCCACAACATTGCATATTCAAAATCCCTTTGTCAATCCTTCTCACAGCCCGGTGAGGCCTCTTCTATCAACCTGCTGTGTCCCACCCTCCATGAAGTGAAGCCAGACCAGGTTGCTCTGTACCTCATCGGTACATATATTTTTGGAGCATCTCAGGATTTGTGACAAGAGCTCCCAGTTCCAGTCATGAGTGGAGGATAATTAACACATCAGGCCTTTGTGAGGGTGTATCTGGAGTAGGCACACATACTGGACACATCTACATGTGAAATTAATGCAGCACATTATTACGCCAGAGTTTATTGCTCCTGGGAGCTGCATTTATACGTGTGCTCAGGACCATAGCATGTTGAGCCAGGTTGGAGCAGCCCTGGCTGGCAGAGAACCCAGGGGGTCAGTTTGCCAGAATGGGGCTGCTCCAACCCAGCTCAATGTGCTGTGGAGGGGCTGGATGATGCACGAGGATGCTTCAGTGCAGGGATAATCGGCAGGCAGCCCCACACTGAAGCACCCTTATGTCCCAGCTAGCCGAGTCAGTATCTACACATGCGCTGCTGCACAGTAAATAATTCCGCCGCAGAATAGTACTTATATTTACAAGTACTAATCTATAGTGGCATTTATTAGTGTACTGCAGCCTAATAGGCCTGCAAATGTAGACACAGAGACTTTACTGAGGAACTAATATTAGGCAGCTCGGCAGTAAATGTCTCATGTAGACATGACCACTCAGAGTACTGAGCTGTGTGGTCACTGTGGAGCATGGGGCCACACTAATCATTGGGGATCCTGGTTTTCTCTGATTTAAAAAGATCCCCAATTTTCAGTTAAAAAAAGTAACCCCAAATTCAAGTTTTTCCATGATTAAAGTGAAATGCTATTATATATAGTGGTGTTTCATTCTAATCACATAAAAATGTGAATTTGGGGTTAAAAATTGGGGACTTTTTTTTTTCAATCAGAGAAGACCAGCTAACCCTGCTAATCGTATGTGCCAGGC